CCCCCCCCCCTGCCTGAAAAGTCTCGATTGGACTCCTTTGTATAGTGACTTCACTACGTCACACTTGCATTTCTACTGGCTAGTGCTTCTATGCATTGTACTAAGGGGCGGGACCAATCACAAGCGGTTGACCAATCACAACAGAGCCGGCCAGTTAACCAATAAGAGCAGACTGGGCTCTGGTTTCAGACAGAGGGTGAAAAGAGGTGCTGCACACTGGAAGTATGAGAAAAATAAAGAGCTTTTTGAACATTAAAGCATGGAGACATTACAGTCACAGTAGAGACACAAAATACAAAAACTGAAAATGTGCATAATATTTCCTCTTTAAAAAGTGAAGCAGAAGTATACAGTAGCAGCAACTCTTATAGTTTATTTAAGTAGATACAAGTAGGCTACAGTACTTGGGTAAATGTTCTCAGTGAAATTAAAACACTGCTGTCAGATTTTATTCAAAAAGACTACTAAAAAACACGTGATGTTGTTTTGTGTCTTCCAGATGTGGAAAAAGGCAAGCGTTTGCTAACTAACATCAATAACTTTAAAAAGTTGGTTGTATGTCCTCAAATGGCCAAACAATCAATTTTTCAATGAATCTTCAGCAATACATTTAGCAAGATGGTATCACGTTAACAATTTAAAAACCAATATGACTGGACACCAACATTGCAATCGACACTTGTTTAGAACAAATTAGTGTCAGGGTGACAAACAGAAGTGTGTGGGATACTTACAGTGGCGTAGAGCCTTCCTCTTTTATTCATGGCCAGGAATCTGTTACTGTAGACCCCTTTGATGCAGATGACCCCCTGAGAAATCGCAAAGAGCTCCAGGACACCTGGGAGGACAAATAACATGCTGTGATGATTGATGGGTGACAGATTGTATTTTTACAGGGGTCATCCCTATATTCAAAGTCTCTTATGTTCCCGGGGTTCTATGTTCTTTTGTGAGACAGTGAAAAGGTCTATATTCACAGTTTCAATTGCAAACAATTTAAGGGAGATTTCAATTGCAGGTTCAATGGTAAAAATCTGTTCAGCCACTCTGGAGATATCAATGTCTATCGTCAATAAAACTGC